GGTGGTGCTGGACCTTGATTCATGTGGGTGTGTGTTCTGATACGAGAACGTTCCTTGTTCTTTTTCTTGACTGTGACGATTTTTCCAAAATGATGAATTGAGAATGGGGGAAGCTTTTTGGAGGTCTCTAGAGTGGATGAAATGACATTTGTGGATGTCTCCCCAAAGAAGATGATTGCGCTCTATCATAGTACCGCTATCGTAGAAGAGATTTTTCTTCGGTTCCTCACTGATTTGGGAAGATTGCTTGATAAATAGTTTCGTCCTGAAGGGATTCTATATTCGACATCTAATCAAAAGCGCGCACGTGGCACCGCATGTTAAGTAACTTCGAAACTCTATTTATGTGATACTCGATTCAGAAAGTCGAATTTGGACCGTGCAATCAAAATGGAAATGACCTTGCCAGGTATTATTGTCCCTGACAACACTGACCAACAACAACGTAAATACGCCTTCACACAGTACCAAGCCACGAATCACAACAAAGCGTCCTTATCGCAGTTACGATGGCTAATAGTGTTCAAGTTGAGATGAATCCCAATGCACTAGAGAATGAGGTGAGAATGAATCTTTAACTTGAAATGAATAATGTTCCTTTTCGACCGAAATCTCACACTGTCGACTTCTATTCGCAGCGACAAGATGAGGAGGATCAACGCGAGTGGAAGAAATACAGGAGGTATCCATTGGATGTCGATCCAGATCAGGGCGACAAATCAAAGGAAATTGTACGTCAAATTCAATAATGATTCATTCTTCCCGTCCGTTTTCTTATCCTCACAAACAAGTGTTGTTCTTCTTGTCGATCCGAATTCTCAGATGTTGTGTGACTTTTCGAGGCCACATATGCGAGCCTTCCATTGTTCATGGTGCGTCAAAGAATTGATTCGAGATTTCTTCCATCATTACCATGTCATCGTTTCTCACAGTCATTCAATCGCTTGCTTGTATTCTTAGGTTTGCCTTTTTCGTTGCCTTCTTCATCTGGTTCTCGATTGGTCCATTATTGCCAGAGATTCGAAAGTCACTTCGATTGACCAAGGAGGACATTTGGAATTCCAACATTGCCAACGTTGCAGGAACAGTCATTGTGCGCTTTATCCTCGGACCGCTATGTGACAAAGTCGGACCTCGTGTACTGTTCACTGGTGTTCTATGTTTTGCTGCCATACCAACTGCTTGTACCGGTTTGATTCAAAATTCCCTGGGTCTGATTCTACTTCGTCTCTTTATTGGAGTTGCGGGTGGATCTTTTGTCATGTGTCAATACTGGACCAGTATCATGTTTACCAAGGAGATTGTTGGATCCGCGAATGCCCTAGTTGGTGGATGGGGAAACCTTGGAGCCGGTGTCACCAATCTTATTCTAGGAACTGCACTCTTCCCACTCTTTAAGGAGATCTTCAAGAGCAATGATAATCCTGCCGAGGCCGCGTGGAGAACGGTTTGCATTGTCCCTGCGATTATTGCCTTTGGCACTGGCATTATGATCTATCGAATAAGCGATGATTGTCCAAAGGGAAACTACAAGGAATTGAAGGAGCACGGAACAATGCAAGAAGTCAACGCTGTGCAGTCTTTCTGCAAAGGGTCTTTTAACTTCAACACTTGGGTTTTGTTCATCCAATACGCGTGTTGCTTTGGTGTCGAGCTCACCATGAACAGCGCTGCTGCCTTGTACTTTCATGATAAGTTCCGATTGACCACCGAAGATGCGGGAACGATTGCGTCCCTATTTGGATGGATGAACCTCTTCGCTAGAGGCCTTGGAGGATGGGCCTCAGATGTGCTCAACATGAAATGTAAGTGCCAATTTCTGCATGTTGTCTTGCCATTTCAAACGTGGGAGATTTCTTTATCCGCTTTTGCAATGGACGAACCCTCTAGTCGATTCATTTCGATCGCAAGTTATGCATTGTCTATTATCAATACCTGCTGCTCACATTCACTTCTGATCGTTCCCTTCTCAATGATGTAGGGGGCATGCGAGGACGCATCTTTGCACAATTCGCCTTTTTGCTCTTGGAAGGTGCATTGGTGCTCTTCTTTGCCCATTCGGATTCACTCATTGGGGCCATCAATGTGATGGTGTTCTTCTCCATCTTTGTCCAAGCGGCGGAAGGATCCACTTATGGAATCATTCCTTATGTTGATGAGGAGGCTACTGGATCGGTGACTGGAATCGTTGGCGCTGGAGGTAATGTCGGGGCCGTTGCATTTGCCCTGGCGTTCCGATCGGAATCAATCGATGATCGAACGGCATTCGTCATCATGGGTGGTACAATCATGTTTTCTGCACTCCTTTCTGTCTTCATTATCATCAAAGGCCACCGCGGTATCCTTTGTGGCAAAGATGACGAGGAGAATAAGCGGGAGCGTGGAAATCCTCGATCGTTTGGTGGGCACTGAGCGCATCGGTGCTGGAGTTCAAGGCACAGTTTTCATATTCCTGTGGTGGCTGTCATCAGTTTCCTAGTTGCATCGGGAACAACAGATTTTTAAAATAGATGGTTTTCATTTCAAAGTTTGTGAAGTCTTTCTTCTTGACCACAGTTGATACCGAACGAAAAAGAGAACCGTCTCACCAAGAACACGAGCAGCTTTTGACATCACGATTCTGTTGTTTCAAATAACGATCATTAATTCAATTAGAGCAGTGTCGACCCGCCATATATCAGAGAAGATGCAATTTCAAAAATAAAGATGTTCACACTTAACACTTGTCGAACAGCCTCCATTCGCCTCAAATTCGTACCACATTCCCCAACAGGAAATTCAAAATTCCGCCGGAGCTGGAGGTGGTACAGTTGCACCCCTACGGATAAAAACACATTATTTTGGCTTCCACCACAACAAACGCTATACAGTAAGATGACCTCTTCTCGTTCTGTTACACGCACCGAAGTCGATACAGGATCCGCTGTAAGAATGACGGTGTATCGAAATCTGCTTTGTCTATGTATGTTTCTATGTCTTATCGCTATCGTTATCTTACCCCATTCCTGCAGACCGGTTGGAAAAAGTATGACAAATACCCGATTGAAGTCGATCGACTTCAAGATGACAAAGCAACCGAAATCGTAAGTCTAAAGGAACTTTGACGCATCCTTCCCGGGCTGTTATCTCACAGTACAGTGTTGCGATCCTATCTTTCTAGTTGCTCTGTAACTTTGAGCGTCCTCACATGAGGGCATTTCATTGTTCATGGTTTGCCTTCTTCGTTGCGTTCTTTGTATGGTTTTCAATCACACCTTTGATTCCAGAGATTCAGAAAAGTCTGGGACTTTCCAATGAAGAAATCTGGACGTCTAATATCGCGAATGTTACTGGAACAATCTTCATGCGTGTCCTCTTGGGGCCACTCTGTGATAAAGTTGGTCCACGAATTCTATTTGCTGTGGTTCTTGGTGTATCGGCCATTCCTGCGGCTTGCATTGGCTTTGTGCATACTACAACTGGACTTACGATCATTCGCTCATTCATTGGTCTTGCTGGCGGTACCTTTGTAATGTGTCAATACTGGACCTCCTCGATGTTCACCAAGGAGATTGTCGCTACTGCCAACGGTCTTGTTGCAGGATGGGGAAATCTTGGTGCTGGCGTCACCCAACTATTGGTTGGAACATTACTCTTCCCATTGTTCAAAGAAATTTTCAAAGGTACTGATAATCCAACAGAAAATGCATGGCGCACTGTTTGCATTTTTCCAGCTGTACTCGCTGTCATCACGGGAGTCTTCATTTACAAGCTCAGCGATGATACACCCAAGGGAAATTTCAACGAGCTGAAAAAGAATGGAAGCATGGGTGATCCTTCCGCGATTCAATCATTCCGAAAGGGATTTTACAATATCAATACATGGATCTTATTGATTCAATACGGTTGCTGCTTTGGCGTCGAGCTGACAATGAACAGTGCCGCAGCAGCGTACTTCCACGACACTTATCGGTTGACCACCGATGAGTCAGCTGCCATTGCCTCCATCTTTGGGTGGATGAACCTCTTCGCTCGGGGGCTTGGGGGGTGGATTTCCGATATCTTGAATATGAAATGTAAGTTGCGTTTTCTCGATAACCTTTCGAAAATGTCCACCCACTCAGCGACTCACTATCTTCTTCTTTGCAAAATTCTGTAGGGGGAATGCGGGGACGCCTCTACGCACAACTAGTCCTGCTCATTCTCGAAGGTGGTTTGGTTTTGATCTTTGCAAACTCTAACTCGCTCATTGAATCTATCAACATTATGGTGTTCTTCTCCATGTTTGTTCAAGCCGCTGAGGGTTCAACATATGGCATTGTGCCATATGTTGATCCAGATGCCTTGGGAGCTGTTACTGGAATTGTCGGTGCTGGAGGCAACCTCGGGGCAGTTGCCTTTGGAATGGCTTTCCGTGACCAAGAAATCGATGAACGAAAGGCGTTCTTCATCATGGGATGCTCAATCTTGGCGTCTGCAGTTACAACCATTTTCATTACAATCGATGGACACCGATGTATCCTGTTTGGAAAAGACTCAGTAGAGACTCAAACGCAGAAAAGAAATAATTTGACGAATATTCGGCAATAGCAAACTTGCAAAGTAGGGAACAGCAAAGCAAGGCTGCAAGGACGGCACGTGATCCTCATGATAACAATACATAGAAGACAAGAACCACCAGCTAAGTGTCTTAAAATAGAACAAAAATCATCCATATTTGGCCATCAGCTTTCTCTTCTTTGCTTGAATAGCTGCAATCTCTTCTGGGCTTTTTCTCTTTGGAGCAGGAGCTTCGCTTTCGTTGACACTCCGTCGTTGCGCATCCCTTTGCGGCGCTCCATGAGCTCGACCGGCATGCCCCCTTTCTGACTCCCGATAGTGATGTTTCGAAATGCTTTCTTTTGTACTTTGGGATCTTCTTGAATACTGGCTTCTCGAGCTGGCTGCCACAGTATCGCGCTCCCGACGGCGGACTTCTTCGTACAAATCGCCCTCACTCGGCATTCCAGCACCACCAGGTCGCGTCCTTCCACCGCCGCGATCTCGCCCACTGTCCCGCTCCCATCGGCCGTCACCTTTTCTTGAAGCATTATCCCGACCGCCTCGATAGCCCCTGCCACCACCATATCCTCGGTCGTTGGGAGTTTGTGCACGGTAGCCCCTGCCGTCTCGATCTCTGTCATTGTATCCCTTCCCACTGTCCGACGAGTGGTATCCTCGGTTGTCTCTGCCGCGCGAATAATTCCGGTCGCTTTCTCTTTCTGAAAAGCCACCTCTAACAGGAGCGTCGTCAGTATTGAGACCAGGCATTTCCATTTCTCCAAGCTCGACTGTTTCCGTGTTGCCGTATTCAGGGAAGTGCACAACAAATTTGGGGGCTCGCAACGGTTCCATGGTCTTTTCGTTTGTCGTAATCACCCTGTCGACAACAGCTTCATACCAAGTAACGGGATTTTCCTCGTCACCATAAAGTGCCTGGCACTTTGAGCCTAATTTCTTGAAATAGTCCATCGTCGTTCGATCTGCTAGATGTTTCTGTGCCCTTTGCTCAATCTTTTCCGCTTGTAACAACTTGACCTTGATTTCTCGTTCAATTTGAATCGGCAACCGGGGTAGCATCGTCCCATGATAATTGTTTCGACTTCCGTAGAGCATTCGAACAAAGTCGCCAATGGTTTCTTTTCGTTTCGAGGCACTTGCTTCGACTTGGACTGGCTCTTCATCATACAGGTAAGGCTCGATCCAATTCCAAACCGACTTTGGGTCTCCAGCGTACCTTAGATAGAGAAAACCAATGGCTCTAATGTAGGGACTATCTGCATGATCCAGCATAAGCTGCATTTGCTTTTCAGTACACCGCAGAGTGAGCAATCGAAGTAGCAAACAAAAGGCAGTCGATGGTTCTTTGTTCGAACCTATGACGCAGGGAAAACGATGTTAAGCGAGAGAAATGCAATCTGAGAATTCCACATGTATGATTGCAAACGCACCTGCTGCCCAAGGTTGCAAGTGTTTCACTTGATAATAGATCTCATCCACGAGCATGTTCCAGTCGGTGATATCACGACAACATTTCTGGAAATAGTTTGACTGGATTATATTCTGCAAAAGCATAGGATTAAAGTGAAAAGAATCATCAGGACCCCATAGTTGCAAAAGATTCTTCTGTCGAGTATTCTGAGGGATTAGCGCAAACAAACATTCGTTAGATAATAGTGTGACGAAGCCAATTGAAGACAGTTCACGACTACGCGTACCCTACCCTCTTCGACAGCAAGTTGAAATAATTCTTCCGCTTCCCGCTGTCTACCCTTCACGTTACCCTCTTGGCGCCATAGTGCTGATCTCGACATGGTTAGGAATGAACGAAGGGTCTCCCAATCAGTGAAGAGTGACGATGATGTTGTTACCATGAATAGTACCAAACTGTTCGTGGGAACAAAAAGGGAGACGACGCGACGGACAGACAGTCGCTCATCTGAAGAAATGAGCTCGAGCTCTGAGCTCAATCCAAATCTAAAATCTTGCAGTCATTGGCAGTAGGTACCTGGTACACGTGTACTAGTATCGTACCAGGTACTAGTTGGTGACAAGAAAGCGTCTTTTTAAAATCGCATACTACCTCCTTTTATTTTATAAGATCCCGGTCAAGTTTCCATATACCCGTTTCGTACTTGTCATAAACTGGCCATCTCTTCTTCCATCCATATGAAAGATTGTGGGATTACTACCTCGTGCACCATACAGGTAGGTGCCCCAATGAGAGCAATTCTTCTTTCCAAACTGTTGCATATGGAATTCCATGGCCCTTACACTATTCCATCCTGGTAGTTGAAACATTTCCTCATAGTATTGTTTTCGTGTCAAGTGGTTTCTGGTGCACGCAACAAAGAGATGAAGGAAGAGTATGATGTCAGAAGCAAGGAGCCCTCAGCAATCCATCAAGTATCAGGACACCAAGACGCTAGCACTAGATCCACACATACCTGTCACTCCATACATGTGTTTTCGTCAATTGAATTCCGTTCTCGGATTCAAAGTGTACTTCCTTCTCGTTGCAAACACTTCCATCGCGTTTCCTCGTCAGAACGCGAGCTGTTGGGAAGCGCACCAGCCGAACTTCAGAATGGGATTCCATTGTATCAATTAGGCCAGTATGGTTCACTTCGTTGATAAAAGGAAGGTCGTGCTGGAGCACAAGCACATACTTTGTGTGTACTTTTCGCAGTGCTCGTTTCATGTTTCTTACCAACATAATTTTCTTGGACGATGTGATGATTTTGACATGTTTCTTGTTGTTGTACTTTGCCTTGATCGCTTTGACGTAGTTGCGCATGTCTACATTACGGACGCTTTTGTATCGAGCGCCACTTTCATAGGCGCCATCCACAGCAATGACCATGGGTGTATCTTTTGGCAGTCCATGGAGAAAGCTAAGCGAATGGATTACCTTGTCGAGTTGATCTGTCGACGGGACACTTGGCATCCAATTGGTTGTGATGATAATTGTCGTATCATTCAATGGGGTACTACCTTTCTTTTGCGTCTTATTGACCTTGCCTTTTGACTTTCTTGGTTGTCGTTTCCTCGACTTCGAAATATTGCTTTTGATTGTTTTGCTTGTCTGTTCATGGTATGTAATGTCAGTGTTCACATCTGAGCCTACGACTTTGCTAGGTGACAAAGCTTGCTCAATCTCGTTCCATAAATCGATTTCAATGTTCTTTGCAGTGCGGTACTTTCTGCTGCTTTGCCCTTTGCATGGGCCAAGAGTTGTTGTCGTTGTTGTTTCACGGTAGTTTTCTTCATTTCTAAAAGTGCCGTCAGAATGACGAAGATTGGAGGTCAACTCCAGTTCCCGTCTTTCTTCCAAGATGATGTCATGGAGAATATTTCTTGTAAAGATAGCCGTCACGTTGTAGACGCTGGATACCAGCACGATGGTCGACGAAACGAAAGCAATGAGGATTCGGATCTTGTGAGCATTGGGTATCGACAGCATGATGATTTCTGCTCCACTGGCAATGGCCAGATTTTATTTTGTGACCATTCATAGGTACACGTATTGTAGGTACCCCGTAGTCACCTCCTCCATCATGAAAGAGCTTTTGGAAGATATATAGCCCATACATTGTGATCCAAAAGTCCGACTTTTCCGCAAAGCTGCTGAAACAAGCGGGAAATCGATTTTTGAACATGTCACACTTAACGGTTCTATTCGTAGAGCGCTGTTTTTATCAAATGATGCACACGAATCATCCAATATTTGAGGACTTTCAAAAACTTGAACCTACAGTATTACTCTAGCTAGAGTCCGAAGTACTGCAGAAAGTCACATATAGATGTTTGGAATGAAGAATATGAATACTATGACAAACTTATGAGGTGCATCTGCAGACGTACAGTATGCAGGAGAATTGAAGCAGCTGTTGTATTTGTTGTTCTGTAGTAGCTGGAAAGAGTTTCGGTGGGTTGCTTCAAAATCAAAAGGGCCGTGACCGTCACCACTTCACCCTAGAAAGTATCTGCTGGTGGGATATGAAAGAGCAGTTATGAATTCGGGGAGGAAAGAATGCTGTGGAGTCGTCGTCATGGCATTGGATGGTTTTCATTCCAGAAGGCCACTCAAGTTTCCAAAGACTCGTTTCGTACTCGTCATGTGTTTGCCGCCTCCTCGGCCGTCCAAGTGAAATATTGTTGGATGGCCACCCCGTGGTCCAAAGAGGTAGGTTCCCCAGTGTTTGCAGTCCTTCTTTCCAAAGCTCTCCATGTGGAATTCCATGTTTCGAACACCACTCCATCCAGGAAGCTGGAACATCTCGGCGTAGTAGGATTTTCGTGTCAAGTGGTTTCTGCAGATTTGGCAAAACGGAAAAACAGTGATTGATTCATGAGACACTTTTGATGATCAACAAACGAAAAGTACCATGCCTTTCATAGTAATGGTAACATACCTGTCACTCCACACGTGCGTCTTGGTCAGTTGGATTCCATTCTCCGATTCAAAATCCACCTCGTCCTCATCGCACACACCTCCATCGCGGGCTCTTGTCAGTACCCGTGCGGTGGGGAATCGTACGAGACGGACTTCTGGATGTGTTTCCATAGTGTCGACCAAAGCGGTATGGTTGACTTCATTGATAAAGGGAAGGTCATGTTGCAGCACAAGGACGTATTGCGTGTGAACCTTTCGAAGTGCTCGCTTCATATTACCGGTCAGCATGATTTTCGTATCCGCAGCCATAATAGTGACGTGAGGTTTGTCGTATTTGGCCTTGATGGCTTTGACATAGGCACGATTATCAACATTCATGGGACTTTCATAGCGAGCGCCATTTTCGTAGGCACCATCCACAGCAATGATCATTGGAGCATCCTGGGGAAGGCCATGGACGCGTGACAAGGAGTCGATAACTTTGTCCAATTGATCTGTAGAAGGGAGGCTTGGCATCCAGTTCGTCGTTACGATAACTGTCGTATCGTTCATGATGTCGCCAGAGCTATTGATTTCACCAATGTCGTTGCTTTCCTCTATCCATACCTGCTCCTTTTTCTTGTTTCCAAGTTTCAATTTATCCTTGTTCTTTTGGCTCTTGTCTTTGCTCTTTTTGTCAGCGGGATTCTCGTTAGTACGCTCCTCGGCTTTTCGAAGGTTCTTGCTTTTCTCGAGTGCTTTCCTGAGATTACTACTACTATGTGTAATCAAAGGATCATCTTCGTCTCTATCGGCTAGTTCCAAACCAGTGGGCATATCAAAATCTAGTATCAGGTTCTTACTGCTGGACCGAAGATTCAGGTCCAGGTTGATATCCTTACGATCGAGAATCATTTCCTTCACTATTGATTTTGTAAAGACAAAGGTCATGCTATAGATACTGGATACCAAAACCATGATGGATGTACAACATGCCATGAAGATTCGAGCCTTCGTAGTGGCGGCTCTCGATGACATTCTTCGTTTCATAGACAACCAATTTTGAATACAATACTTGTAGAGGGGCGGTTGACGATGGTCGTGAACAAAAAATGTGCGAATGCATCTGAAATTATTTGCGTTTCACATGATGATTTGCCTGCAAAAGCGGGAATGTTTTTCCCGCTTCATTTTGAATGTGATGCCCAATTGTGTGCCCTTGATTGTACGAATGCGGCTTGCGTGCACGTCGACTGGCGCAAAAATGATGCACTGCTGGCTCGGCTTGAATGACCACGCCGGGCCAGCCCAACAGTTATCCCATTGGCAAACAGAGCTCGCACTCCCAAGATTCACAATCGCTGACAACAGTTGGATTTTTTTGAAAGAACGAAAGAAACTTGCCCACCACAGAAGTGTTTCCATCTCCAACCACCAAGCCAAGAACCAAAACCGATGATTGTCTACACGGTGATTTGCCGAGCCCGGGATGCTGCCATCTTGGTAGAATTGGCCACCGAGTCTCTTGCTGGAGGGAATGCGCCTCAAGTTACCACTGCTTTGTTGGAACATTTGCGAGATAATCCCAGCGTCATCCAAGAAGGACACCTCAAAACCTTTGTGCATCGCAATCAGGACGATGAAGAAATGGGAGATGATATCTTTAACACTGTCATGCAGGCTTGTACTGTGCCAATCAGTTCGGCACCAGATTTGGATATAGGGCAATTTCAAGAGCACTACTTTCATCTCTGGTTGGACGATGGTATCTATTATTGCTGCTTGTCCGACAGTCCAGAACCAAGACATCACAAGGTGGCCTTTGCTTGTATGCAAGCCATTTGTAGAGATTTGAAGCAACGATTCAGCCAGAGAAAATTGCGATCCTGTAACGCATATGCCCTGAATTCGGAATTCACTCCCAACTTGAGAAGTGCCATGCACTACTACAATATCAATTGTGACAAGCTGAGTCAGGACCAACACGTCAATGGGCTTTTGGTACAAGTGGAAGATATGAAAGTAATCTTGGGGCGTAATATTCAGCTCCTGTTGGACAGGGGTGAAAAGGTCGATCGGTTATTGGCTACTTCTGATAAGACTCTTGCAGAAACTAATGTGTTTCGACAACGGTCCGAACGGGTAAAGAAGTTGAAGAGACTGCAAAAGATCAAAACGTATATGATTCTAGGTGGATTGATGCTTACTATTGGTATTGTTGTTGGGTACACATATCACAACAGCAAGAGCTAGAACTCATATTGTACTTACTACATGTATTTTGCAGTGTGTGGTAGGAGAATAGACTGCAATATTATTCATTCATTGACTCACAAATCGTCTGAGGAACGAAGCCAAAAATGTAAAATAGTACAGAATTGATCCGGAACATGAATGTATCATCTGATTCTGTAGTAAGCAGTAAAGCCGGTGCTATTTTTTGCGGCAATCAGAACCGACTAAGGGGAGGGATCATGAAACCGAAATGGGAAGCAAAAGTCTGAACCGAATTCGTGCCTTCGTAAAAGTATTGGATGATGAATCTAATGAACTTTTAAATGCAAAAACTACTCACTCTTACAGTTTAGTTGGTGTTTCGAGATGCGAGAAGCTTCTGGAACTTCGGTATAGTCTATTTGTACAGCGTTGTGACATTCTGTTCCGTGTTGGCGCGTCTTGACAAAAGTGCCACAACAAAATATAGTTGTCACCAAGATGGTGAATCATATATATGCATTGTCACATATTATGTTAGATGAGTCAGTCGCTTAATCTTCCAATCGGCCGCCCTTGTACATCTCCTTCTCGTCCAATCCGACAACCTTCTTACTGAGATCCCACATGGTCTTGGCCATTTCCTTATCTTGAACGGCACTGGATTGTTCGTTCTCGAAGATTTCACCTCCAGAACCACCAGCACCTGCAACGACACCGTCCTTGTTGATGTATCCAACAGTATTGGCCTTTCCGTTCCAGCTCCAGTACACATCAGACTTGTTGCACTTGGGGTCGGCAATGACTTGGGCCAAGCGTTCTCCGGCTTCCTTTTCGCTGACGTATCCACCGGTCACGTACTTCATGAACAATGGAAAGAGCTTGCGGAACCATTCTCTCTTTTCGCGGAAGAGGGCGGTTTCAGCGATGCAGCCGGGGTACATACTGGAGAAGACGATTCCAGTGTCTTCGTGGTAACGACGGTGAAGTTCAGAAACAGTCATCATGTTGCAAACCTTGGCGTCCTTGTATGCCTTGGCTCCAAAGAAAGGTTTGCCATCAGCCATGGCGATGGGCTGCTTCATTCCCTTTTGGAAACCTTGCAATTTTCCAAGATCTGCACGGGGGTATACAAGTCCTCCTCCGACAGTGTTGGTGTTTCCAGTGATGGAACCGACAATGCAGCAGCGAGCTCCCTTGGCCTTGCTCATATCATCTAACAAAAGATTAACCAGCAAGAAGTGCCCAAGGTGGTTTACTCCCATGGACATTTCAAATCCGTCATCGGTGAAACTTGGTTCAGGATCCTTTGGCAAGTAGACGGCGGCGTTACAAATGAGGTTCTTGAGTGGTCGGGCGCCCTTGAAGGCCTTCAAATTGGCAACGAAATCGCGGACGCTTTGGAGACTGGCAAGTTCAAGCTTCATGACAGTGTACGATCCCTTGGGAAGACCGTTTTCCTCGGCGACTGATAGATATGACGACAAAATGAAAAAAATGTCAGAGGTTGGCTGCCATGACGAAGATAATGCGACAAGTCGTTAGATTCCAAAGGAGAACTCACCTCTTTTGGCCTTTTCGGTATCTCTGCATGCCATGATAACATGGTAGCTTCCACTGTTGGCAAGGGCAATGGTGGTACTCAAGCCCAATCCAGAAGACGCACCCGTGATGACGACAAGTTCCTTCAAGGCAGCTCTGATACCACCGAAAACCTTTGGAGTCTCTTTGGCTTCAGGAGGGTAGTATAATTTATCCGTTACCATGGCATTCAATTGAGTGCAGCTGATGGCAGAAGATTCAGCAGCAGAAGATTGGAAAGATCCATGTGTCATCAAACCGTTATAGTTCACGCTGACCTTGGAGGTAGACTCCATGGCTGGCATGAAAGCAGACACAGCGGAAAGGCCGCACAGAAGAGCAGCAAAGAAGCGCATATTATTGAAGAGGAAACGGAGAAGAAATGAAAGGAGAAAGTAAAGTTTTCAATCTACCGACACCTTGAGGTTGATGTTTGATGTTGAGGAACATTTGTTCCCCCTCCTAGAATCATTTCGGCAGTGATGACGACATTCAGCCTACGCGAAAATCGTACCAGGAAACCTTCAACAAACGGGTTACTTGAATTTCCAGGTGGAGGTCCGTTCGGCGTACGGTGCAATAACCATGAACCTTCCATTCTCGTACCCCTCTTAGAGCCGGAGTAAAAAGTATTTGAAATCTATCATATATTTTTCTAAAGCTGGAGTCTAAAAATAGGTATTATACACTGCAATTCGTCTATAGGGAAATCACGTCATAATGGGTGATTAGAAAGCACCAATCATATCAAGATCTTGAGTTGCCAAGATGTCGTAGACACAATCCTTCATGGACAAAGGGTCCCTCAAAGTGGCACACGCCTTTTCGGCCTGTTGGACGCTAATATGACTCTCAGCCAAGCGGCGGCGGCGGTCGCCACGAGGATCCTCTGGTTCGATGCACTTCTTGGGGAATTGGGGATCTTCCGAAGCATGGAACAACTTGGGCTCACTTGGGATAACTTGCCATTCTTGACCAAATTCAGTGAAATCATTCATAACAGTCGCTCCATCACGGCCTAGTGTCTTTCCAGTGTGGAAGTCACCCAGCATTCCGACAGTATTTCCAAAGGCTTCCTCTCCTCCATCAAGCTTGACACGAATGAATTCCTTGTAAAGCTTAATGATGATTTTGACACCTGGATACTTGGAGTTCAAGTCGATCTCGTAGTGGCTCTTTGCCAAACTGGAAGATTCGAAATTAACAGGGAACCCAGCAAGCTCAATGAGCTCTCCTTGGTACTCGTAGTTGAGCCAGTAGGTAGCCTCGTTCTGTTCGGGGTTGGAAGATCCCTCAATCTCCAAAATGTCATTTCCGATACGGATGGCAACATTCTTGATGTAGGACCAGTAACGGACAAGCTTGGTGCGGATGTGGACATCGAGGCCCAAGCCATCGGCGAACTTCTCATCCTTGGCCATGACAAGATCGCATTGCCCGTGGAACTCGTAGTGCTCATGAGCCCAGGTGGTGATATGTGGGTCTCCTCCAACTTCTGGAACACAGGTTGATCCAGGGGCGGAAATCTTGATGGTAGCAACGTCATTCACGATGGAAACAACCTCGATAACAACTTCACCTGCAGACACACCGCCAAAGCCGGTAATGGTGTAACTTTGCCCATCACTTAGCTTGGCAACGAGATCAGACTCATCATCAGCAAGCCCCTCATTGTCTTGAGTGTTAATGGTGACCTGGTTAGCACCTTCTTGGGTTTCGTGGTTGAAACTGCTGGCATCATTGTAAGCAATAAAGTAAGAAACACCGGATGTTGAGTCATCAATCTCCAATAGGACATTGTCCACATCTTCTTGATCATAGTTGACGAATCCTGAGATAGCAACAGTTTCGTCATTGCAAGCATTTGGTTGGAGAGTGACTGTCTTGTCTTCAAACCATCCCATTTGATGGGTTTTTGCACCGTTGAAACACATTTGCGGGAAATGGCGTTGAGGAGTAGAGTATCCCATCTGAATTTTGGAGAGAGAGAGAAGAAGAAAAGGTTAGGATCAGTTTGGAGTATCCTGGTATATCCTGGATTATTAGGGACAGTATAATGCTCAAGCTACTTACGTATCCAACTTGATCCTCGTACTCGACACCACCTTCAGTACTGTGTCTCAAGTTCAAGTTGTGTGACAACTCGTGCATGGTAACTGAAACTTGCAAGCAGTATTCGTTGTTGTTATTGTAAATCGAAACACGGTCATTGACCCAAGCAATTGCATTGGTATCCTTCATAGTGTTTCCAGGGGCACAAATCATGAGAAAGTCAGCAATATTCTCGTATTCAGTTCCATGCTTTGCTTCGACTTGATCAAGAACATCATTCATGTAAGTGACCATACGAGGATAGTCTACAGCAGTGTTGGTCATGACGAAGAAACCCCCACGGCTGCTTGTAGTTGTGGTGACTCCTGTGGTACCGGCAGTAATGTCAGAGTAGGGTGCACCCGAAGCAGTGTAGGTGGCTGGCACAAGATCGAGAGCGCCATGAGAACAAGCTTCAAACTGGGTGGCGATATTCACTTTGGATTCATCAAAGAGGGTTTCTTGAATCAATGCCTCAGTTGTAGTAGTACGTCTTGTGGAACTGCACCCAACGCAATCTTCACCATCGATTACGACAACGAGGACTTTCTTCTCACCGGTAGTACCGATAACAGAGTTGAGCCTTCTTCGTTCACCCCCAATGACAAGTGCTGGCTCTTCAGTTGTGTTGATCAAAGAGTCGGCGTAAGTGGTTCCTTCTGGGAAGGAAAGGAAGGTTTCGCCACTGACTAGTTCCAGCGACTTTTGCTTCCCCATGATCCATTCGGTTTCCACAGAAGGGACTACAAAGTAGCGATTATCAATCATACAATGCAAGACCATCACCTCGCCGCCATCTTCGGAATCAAAGTCGGAGACAACAGCTCTGCAGTCCTCGGTCAAAGTACCGGAAGATGCATCGGTAGCTGCAAAGGCTGCAGCCAGGGAAGTTAGAAAGAGACTGAATTTCATCTTGCAATATTCTGCTTATAGATTTTAAGAAGAGTGTGCTTGTAATCTCTTCGCTATGCAGGAATACCGCAATGTTTTTATTGTAACAGTAGATGATCCACAAAGAAACCGTGAATGGAATATCTTGTTTTTAAGTGTCGCAATGACTCTAACAACACCACTTTTTATTGCAAACATATAAATGTAAGTTACTAAAATTTTCACTCGACGAACACCAGTCCGGTAGATTTATGCCCACTTCGAAAAATATCATGTCCGACCACATAAAAGAACATACTGTATGAAATCTGCAAAGCCCGAAGTCAATCGTGGCAAGAAAATGTTGAGTGCACGTCCGACTACTTGTGAGTATTTTTATTCTGTAAAATGATGTAATCGAAGATTACCCGGCGCCGCCTCCACTCCTGGGCTTGAATCGCATGATGTAGTCTTTGTCTGGAGAGATCGCGCACGTATGCTACCATGGAAACTGTGGCAAAAGCCTGATGCTACATACG